TACAAAGTTCTATATTATGAATTTCTCTTTTCAACAAACTACACTGTGAAATAACTGTCCACAAAAAAATCTTTATCAGTATTGTGTTCATTACAATATCCACTAATGTTTTTGACCTCCACCAAGGTCTTCTTTAGGTGCTGACTAAGTGTTGTCTCCCCTTGACCGTTAGAACGATGTTATCTGAGATGTAAATATTGCGTGTATCACGTTTCACCCTTCTGCTTGTCCCCATTCTAATTCCTCGAATAGGTATCTCCACGCCTGCATGATCATTAGTGGACAGTTATTACTCAACACAGTGTTACAGTTAGAAGACTTTTGTGCTACTTTGTGGAACATTGAAAATACATCTTTTTACATTTTAAAAATGTCCCATTTAACAAAATTTTGAAAGCTGATTAAATTCTATTAATACAAAAACTACAATTTCTTTAAATGTTAAAATTGGTCAAAAATTAAAAAGCATTTTAATTTTTAACCATTTTTAACAGAATTTTACAGATGATCCTTAGAAGAAACTACTGTTTAGAACCTTCTTCTTGGAAAGTTGATACCACACTGTAGTTTTTTCTAAAGTTCATCTGTATCCATAGTTTCAAATAACTTTTTGATTGCTGTTCAAATCTGTAAGAAATAGCTTCTTTCAGCAAGAAAACATTCTGAATCAAATTTTTTATTTTTTAAATATAGTTAATTAAATTTATTGGAAGTAAGATAAATTTTGTGAACAAAAATATAGGTGAAGATTACTATTTTTCAGCACAAATATATGAATATTTAGGAGAAACTTCTTAACATATAGGTGTTAAATTACAAATGAATGTCACAAGATTGACAAGTGCTTTCGACGATAATTATTTTCGTCTTCGTCTTTGGAATATATGAATATTTATTATTTCAACCATAACATTTTTTTCTCAAATTCAAATACTATACTTTCTGTTTGATTTTTTTTTTTTGTTTGATATGCATAGATAACACTTTATTTTGTTATTAATATGAGTACAAGGCTATTTTCATGGAGAATAATACATCATTATAATATTCTGTGTGTTTTTTTTCACCTTCAGTGTATTTTCCATTTCTATTATTCTTTGCATTTTCTAGAGGCAATTTAGAATGGTTTGAAATAAATGTCCCAAAGTTTATCTTGTTTAAATTTTATTTGCAAAATTTCTCTACAAATATATCATATTTTTGATACTTTTAAATTAAGCATTAAATGTATAAAACAATTCCTGTATCATATCATTCACCCAAAAAATGTCTTTTTGGAGCTTACATTATTATTATCCTAGCACTTTCAATTTCCTGCAGCCAATGGTGGATCCAGAAAAACCTAAATGGGGCTAACTCAAAAATAAAAAAATATTTGAAATAATTATAAGTATTTTTTTATTAACATATGCAAGATGATTGTATTGCAGATGGTTTGATAAACCATATTTACCATTTTAAATGTTTTTAAAAACAGTTTTCAAGTTTGAACAAATAAATTTTAATTTTTTTTTTGTGTCAATGGATAGAGACTAAGCCATTGTAGCTCTCAATAGATCTGCCCCTGCTTGTTAATTCCCATCTTCAAGGACATAAACAGTAAAAATTTAAAAAGCCACACTTTTTGATAGAAGATCAAAAAATGTCAAACCAATATATTGTTATTTTCTGACTGATATTCTTAACATCTGATTTTTAATGTATGATATTTTATTTTATTTTGATTGTTAATCTCCTTGAAGATGGGTTGTATGAATCTGAAAGCATTAAGATAATAAACATGTAAACTGCAGAAAAACAGTTTTGGATGAATTACTGAAACTATTTTTTTTTGTGAAATTATTTTGGTGATTTATTAAACCTAAAAATTTACAATTTTAATTCAGAAATTAAAGATGATCTGTAATATGGTAAGAAGCATGAAATGAATTGATGGATTAATACAGAAAAATTTATTTAATTAGTTTTAGAAAAGTTAAAAAGTTTTACATGCTATTGAAAATAAAGAAAGATAAAAACAGATAAGTAGATATAATTATTAAAGACTAACATTGGAAAAATATTACAACACTTTTTACAGCTACAGGAATATAAATTAAAACAAAACAATAAATATTACAAAAATTGTACTTGAAGAATAATGGACGGGTAATCATTGAATCATAAAAATATGCATTTCAATACTTCCTGTATGGAAATTGATTATAATAAATATTTAGTGCTGGACTTTTGATATATTTCTGATAAATATAATTAAATAATATTGATTAACATTATACAATCATAGATAGATGTGATAACAATTAAGATGCTGTTTGCATAAATTGGTCTTGCTATGTAAATATATATGTATGATGATATGTACTATATAACATGACTTAATATCATGAAATATTCAATCTCTAAAAAGCTACATTTTATTTGAATTGACAGAAAGATATGAAAATAATTTTATTTAATGTTCTTACATAAAATTCTTTGATGACATTCATACAATGTAGGTCTGGCATAAGCATGTGGTAGATGTCTAGAAAATTAGATTATAAAATGAACATAATAATAATAATAATAATAATAATAATAATATGGTATTCATAGTCTACTTGAATATATTTTCAGATGACAACAAAATTTGGAGATAAAGAACAAATTGTGCATCATCCAGTGACTTTTAAATCTAAATTCACTTTTATTGGATTACCTCAATTGAAAGCCTATTTTATCATGAATTTATACTTCCAATTTAAAACTTCAGAATCAAATGGTTTGATATTATATAATAAAGGTAAAGGACAAGATTTCATAGCAGTTGAATTGGTCAATGGCCATCTCTACTGTATTTTTAATATGGGTGATGGACCTCGTAAAATGAAATCTAACACTAGAAACACACTTAATGATAATGCTTGGCATTCTGTTACAATTAGTAGACTTTTACCAAATCAACATACAATGATGGTTGATGATGTTATTACAACACTTACTAGCTCAGGATCTAATATTCATTTAGATTTAGATGATTTATTGTATGTTGGTGGTGTTAGAAGAACAATGTACAGTACACTTCCTCAACCAGTTCGCTCTCGGTATGGATTTGAAGGTTGTCTTGCATCTGTCGATATGATGGGAGAGACAATTGATCTTATACATGATGCAATAATTCCAAGCACCTTAGTTTCAAAAGGATGTGCAGGTAAAAATTTATTTTAATTAAAAATAAAAATATTTTACTATTATTACTAATAAACATTTTTATAATGATAACATCTTAAAGAAAAATTAATTTACAAAGAAAAAAGTTTAAGAAATAACTAATATAAATTGTAAAACATTTTATTTTANAAGTTTGAACAAATAAATTTTAATTTTTTTTTTGTGTCAATGGATAGAGACTAAGCCATTGTAGCTCTCAATAGATCTGCCCCTGCTTGTTAATTCCCATCTTCAAGGACATAAACAGTAAAAATTTAAAAAGCCACACTTTTTGATAGAAGATCAAAAAATGTCAAACCAATATATTGTTATTTTCTGACTGATATTCTTAACATCTGATTTTTAATGTATGATATTTTATTTTATTTTGATTGTTAATCTCCTTGAAGATGGGTTGTATGAATCTGAAAGCATTAAGATAATAAACATGTAAACTGCAGAAAAACAGTTTTGGATGAATTACTGAAAACTATTTTTTTTTGTGAAATTATTTTGGTGATTTATTAAACCTAAAAATTTACAATTTTAATTCAGAAATTAAAGATGATCTGTAATATGGTAAGAAGCATGAAATGAATTGATGGATTAATACAGAAAAATTTATTTAATTAGTTTTAGAAAAGTTAAAAAGTTTTACATGCTATTGAAAATAAAGAAAGATAAAAACAGATAAGTAGATATAATTATTAAAGACTAACATTGGAAAAATATTACAACACTTTTTACAGCTACAGGAATATAAATTAAAACAAAACAATAAATATTACAAAAATTGTACTTGAAGAATAATGGACGGGTAATCATTGAATCATAAAAATATGCATTTCAATACTTCCTGTATGGAAATTGATTATAATAAATATTTAGTGCTGGACTTTTGATATATTTCTGATAAATATAATTAAATAATATTGATTAACATTATACAATCATAGATAGATGTGATAACAATTAAGATGCTGTTTGCATAAATTGGTCTTGCTATGTAAATATATATGTATGATGATATGTACTATATAACATGACTTAATATCATGAAATATTCAATCTCTAAAAAGCTACATTTTATTTGAATTGACAGAAAGATATGAAAATAATTTTATTTAATGTTCTTACATAAAATTCTTTGATGACATTCATACAATGTAGGTCTGGCATAAGCATGTGGTAGATGTCTAGAAAATTAGATTATAAAATGAACATAATAATAATAATAATAATAATAATAATATGGTATTCATAGTCTACTTGAATATATTTTCAGATGACAACAAAATTTGGAGATAAAGAACAAATTGTGCATCATCCAGTGACTTTTAAATCTAAATTCACTTTTATTGGATTACCTCAATTGAAAGCCTATTTTATCATGAATTTATACTTCCAATTTAAAACTTCAGAATCAAATGGTTTGATATTATATAATAAAGGTAAAGGACAAGATTTCATAGCAGTTGAATTGGTCAATGGCCATCTCTACTGTATTTTTAATATGGGTGATGGACCTCGTAAAATGAAATCTAACACTAGAAACACACTTAATGATAATGCTTGGCATTCTGTTACAATTAGTAGACTTTTACCAAATCAACATACAATGATGGTTGATGATGTTATTACAACACTTACTAGCTCAGGATCTAATATTCATTTAGATTTAGATGATTTATTGTATGTTGGTGGTGTTAGAAGAACAATGTACAGTACACTTCCTCAACCAGTTCGCTCTCGGTATGGATTTGAAGGTTGTCTTGCATCTGTCGATATGATGGGAGAGACAATTGATCTTATACATGATGCAATAATTCCAAGCACCTTAGTTTCAAAAGGATGTGCAGGTAAAAATTTATTTTAATTAAAAATAAAAATATTTTACTATTATTACTAATAAACATTTTTATAATGATAACATCTTAAAGAAAAATTAATTTACAAAGAAAAAAGTTTAAGAAATAACTAATATAAATTGTAAAACAGTTTATTTTAAAAAAGAAAAATTATTATAAAGTAGTAATGTTATTTTATTTAATTATTTATAAAGTATTCAGCAAAATAAATTATTTTGTTCCCAATAAACATCTCTTCATATTTCTGAACAAGGGATATATATTATGATAAAAATTGCTCTATAAAAACTTTGTAAAATACAAACTACTTTTGAATAAATTATTGTTTTAAATCTAAATAATGAACAAAACGCCAGTTTCGAAAACTCATAAACTTTGCTTTATTAGCTCCAATAAAGTAATTTTTTTAAAGTGTATTTTCTATAATTTTAATTTCATTACATAAATTGAGGGTTGAGTGGAAAAACAGCATATCCCACATTAGGAATTTTTCAAGAAAAAGAAAGATTTGTGTTTCAGAAAAAGAAAGATTTTCAATTCATCAGCATTTTAATGTGCAGTGCTTTATTAATATGGATGTATTATACAACTTGTAGGACATGTAATTGAATCATGAAAGTTTCTTGGAAGATAGATTGAAGATGCCGTTTTCCACTCAGCCGCTCAAATAAATGGCATTTTAATTAAAATAATAAAATAAGTTAAAATACTTCTAAATATCACTTATGGTAGTTGTTATTACGTTCTATGAATGCATGTCTCTTTAATCCAAATGACTATTAAGTTCGGTAGACTATCATTACAACTTTCAGGTTAGACACTTCTTTTATTGTTTTCTCATATGCATTTCAGGCTTATATAAATGCTAAGCCCCTCTTCAGTGCTGTATTGAAAACTCTTTCCAATGTTACCTGTTATATACCGTGGTTTTAGAAGACAGAACCATATGTATCATATAAGTGTGACAATTTTAATATTGTACTGAAGAGGGGCTCAGCATTTATATAAGCCTGAAATGCATATGAGAAAACAGTAAAATAAGTGTCTAACCTGAAAGCTGTAATGATAGTCTACTGAACTTAATAGTCATTCGGATTAAAGAGACATGCATTCATATAAGTTAAAATACCACAGGTAGAATTTTGAAATCAAGAAAATATCAAAAATGTTGTACAGATTTTGAATTCACTCAATGAAACTTTATATCTGATATATAAAATTATTTTTATGATTAAATAATTTTTCCACTTTCTTAAAGAAACTAGTTTTATATTTAATTTGAAAAAATATTTTTAATACTCTTGGAAATCATTGTATGATATTATTGTATTGATATTATTATATGAAATCATTGTATGATATTATTATATGATATCATTGTATGATAATATTTTCACTGAGTTTATAAAACAGATAATATTATCTGTTTTATAAATCAATTAAATAATATAAATTAAAAAAAACTGACTGACATTCTTAAAAACTGAAACTTTTTCATAGATTAAATATACATTTTTTCTTGATAGTAGTTTAGTATATTTTCCTAGCATATTTATATATTCTTCAAATTTCTAATTGTTTTATAAATTTAAATAATCATATTTAGATATATACTGGTAAAAATATGGATAGCAAACACATACATGTAGTTTTCAATAAACTTCTTAAATGCACAGTTTACATGAAATTATCTGAAGCTAGAGGTGATTTTCTGAAAACTATATCATAAAAATCATTCATTGAAATGAAGCATTATCCTATACCGTAGTTGGAATTAAAAATAAACAACGATAAGTATTCCATATATTCATGAATTACATTAGTGTAAATTAGCAGTTGAATATGAAATTTGCATATCTTGAGAATAAATTTAATGGAAAAACAATTATTTATTGTGACATTGCAACAATGCCAGGCTGCAATTTTTAATCATCTTTTAATTTAAAAAAATCATGTGACTTGGTCCAGGCCAAAAGTTCATATATAGTTAATCACAGTCTTTGGCTCCTAGGTTTTCCATATTTAGTCTTGAATTTAGTTATGTCTTGCCCCTGTACATCATACTTCTCCTGATAACAATTGAATCATGCTATCTAACTTTTTTTTTGAGAAAATTTTGAATTGCCATCATATGACTTCTAGTTAAGACCAGAAGTTCCTATGTAGTTAATTGGGGCCTCTGACCCTTAAGTTTTCCATATCTGGTCATGTTTTTCATCTAACATCGTTCTCAAGATTAAGGACAGACATGTCCTTAATCTTGAGAATGATGTTAGATGACAGTGGGAATTTATAGGTCTGCAATTTGAAAATTGCAGCTAATTAATTAATTTTGAGCTTTCAAGTCATAGCAACTAACAACAAAAACATGCAGTAAATAAAGCAAGAGAACTTGTATAAAATTCAATAAATTTTAATATTACATGAAATTATTAAAAGTATATTTAATATGTATAGTGTTGTAAGATAATTTAACTATGATAGTTGCTTTCTTCATATGATCTGTAACTTAGGAAATTTTTTTTGAAGACCTTACTTCTCATTTGAACATAAATTCAGAAAATCTATGATATCAAAAAAAGATTTAAATGTAATCTTTATAATATTATGATCTCTAACTTTTAAATTTGTTTAGTCAGTATGCTTTTGTTTAGAAAGTTTTTCTTTATTATCTGTGTACTACAAAAATAGAAATAGTTTTATTAAAAAATGCATTGTAAACAAGTTACAAAATTAATTTCCTTATCCATGTTTAATAATTACTATATTGATCTATAATTGTCCATTAATCCATAAATAAAAATTTCAAACTCATTATTTTTTCCCTATTACCTATTACCTAATGCTAATATACTATTTTATGTATATAGGCTTGCTTATAATATTATAATGCAATATAATATATATATATATATATATATTAATAATACTACTACATTAAAAAAATATGGTTAAATTATTTTGCAACATTCTATATTGGTTATTAAATCAAAAAACACCTGAATCCATTAACAAAAAAACAAATTAAATAATTACTGCAAAAAATAGTAAGAATTTGATGATGATCTTTAAATAAGATCAAAAACATTAGTATACATATTAAATTTGTTTATTTGTTATTGGATTTAGGTTTTTTTCTGAGTTAGTTATAGTAGTACATCCATTTTACTATTTTTGGGTTTTTTTTTTTTTTGCTGAAATTTATGTATTGACATTGCTATGCTGGCCAAACTCTACAGAAAAATGAATTATTAAATAATGAATATATTATATTAATTATTTAGTAACCAATTTTTTAGTTTTGATAAAATAGTTGGCATGGTTTTTTCATTATTATGTGATCCTTATCTTTGTAATTTTCATACATAATTTCAAAATTGGAAAGATGTAGATTTATATAGTGACTTGGAAGAAGTTTTTGATAGGAGGTTAACTTTATTAATACAAGCATCATATTGACAAACTACTTAGGAGAATTTAANATAAATTTAAATAATCATATTTAGATATATACTGGTAAAAATATGGATAGCAAACACATACATGTAGTTTTCAATAAACTTCTTAAATGCACAGTTTACATGAAATTATCTGAAGCTAGAGGTGATTTTCTGAAAACTATATCATAAAAATCATTCATTGAAATGAAGCATTATCCTATACCGTAGTTGGAATTAAAAATAAACAACGATAAGTATTCCATATATTCATGAATTACATTAGTGTAAATTAGCAGTTGAATATGAAATTTGCATATCTTGAGAATAAATTTAATGGAAAAACAATTATTTATTGTGACATTGCAACAATGCCAGGCTGCAATTTTTAATCATCTTTTAATTTAAAAAAATCATGTGACTTGGTCCAGGCCAAAAGTTCATATATAGTTAATCACAGTCTTTGGCTCCTAGGTTTTCCATATTTAGTCTTGAATTTAGTTATGTCTTGCCCCTGTACATCATACTTCTCCTGATAACAATTGAATCATGCTATCTAACTTTTTTTTTGAGAAAATTTTGAATTGCCATCATATGACTTCTAGTTAAGACCAGAAGTTCCTATGTAGTTAATTGGGGCCTCTGACCCTTAAGTTTTCCATATCTGGTCATGTTTTTCATCTAACATCGTTCTCAAGATTAAGGACAGACATGTCCTTAATCTTGAGAATGATGTTAGATGACAGTGGGAATTTATAGGTCTGCAATTTGAAAATTGCAGCTAATTAATTAATTTTGAGCTTTCAAGTCATAGCAACTAACAACAAAAACATGCAGTAAATAAAGCAAGAGAACTTGTATAAAATTCAATAAATTTTAATATTACATGAAATTATTAAAAGTATATTTAATATGTATAGTGTTGTAAGATAATTTAACTATGATAGTTGCTTTCTTCATATGATCTGTAACTTAGGAAATTTTTTTTGAAGACCTTACTTCTCATTTGAACATAAATTCAGAAAATCTATGATATCAAAAAAAGATTTAAATGTAATCTTTATAATATTATGATCTCTAACTTTTAAATTTGTTTAGTCAGTATGCTTTTGTTTAGAAAGTTTTTCTTTATTATCTGTGTACTACAAAAATAGAAATAGTTTTATTAAAAAATGCATTGTAAACAAGTTACAAAATTAATTTCCTTATCCATGTTTAATAATTACTATATTGATCTATAATTGTCCATTAATCCATAAATAAAAATTTCAAACTCATTATTTTTTCCCTATTACCTATTACCTAATGCTAATATACTATTTTATGTATATAGGCTTGCTTATAATATTATAATGCAATAT